ATGTACTTGCACTCTTGACAACATGTTGGAAGGTTGTCGCACTTGTTATTAATAAGCGCCTTAAGGCTCGTATTAACATGCTTATTTCGACAGTTTTGGTGTGCCTTGCAACTCAAGTGTTGTTATTGACAATATCTGCATTTTGGGACCCAGAAAATGTGTGGTATTACCTTTTTGTCCTCTTTAATTTCATGAGTGTCCTAACATGTGGCGTTGTAGTGGAGGGTATTTTGGTAATCATGCCAATTAATGACTCGCTTGATGTTGCTAGTCAACAAATTGAGGAAAGGAGGGAGTGTATAGATGAACCTGTTTGAATGGAACAAGTATGGCATTACAATTCATCGAGATAGAGGATAATTTCGTCCTTTGGTGATCAAGTCGGGGCTGGCCACGTGTGCGACACAGGATTAATCATAAATGTGGAAGAAAGGTGATGAAACATGCATACAAATTTGAATTGATGATCTTGAGAAGCAATGTAATGTGATGTTTTGATGATCCTTCATAATGATTCTCTTTGCCCTTTGAAATCACCATGAGATATGCTTGTCTATTTTTCTTCTTACTTAGCATTTTATGATTTTGTGGTTTAGGCTTGCTTAGTTAATCTTTGTGTATATAAGATTCGAGCACTAACCAAATTAGTCACGAGTTAGAGGAAATTTTTTTGTCACCAAATGAAGCACAAATGTAAATTTATGTATGCTTCAAGTACTATGAATCCTAAGTACTAACATAACAATTGAAAGTTCAATAAAAAATTTGTTACAAATTTTCAATTTTTCTTTTTGGTTCACCTTTGAAGACAATTTGATCATTTTTTTTTTCTCTCTTTTTGTTGTTATTGTTGTTGTTGATTGAGCCAATATGCATATGTAATTCCAAAGCAAATTTGACACCTTATAATCTATCTTTAGTTTGCCAAATAAAACAAGCATTGAAGACGTTAAAGGCTTGTAGCCCAATCAGGCAATCAATAGTATTGGATTAGAGATCCTCTAGACCTCTACACAAGTTGTAAACTCAAGGTACAACCCAATATTGAATGTTTCAAGGGCTAGATGAAACATTGTGACAAGTAAATCTCGTAAAGTCACCATCTATTTGGCCTTTGAACTTGTCCATCACAATATTCTTATATTCTGACTGCATCCATTAAACTATTTCTATTTTGTTTCAAAATTAAATAAATAAATAAATAAATAATTTATATTTGGAAAGAATGGAATTTGGTCTTCTCACACTTGCAAAACTTGTGCTTAATTTTCGTAAATAATAATCCCTTTTATCAATTGGTTAATTTTCATTTATCCTATATATATATATATATATATATATATATATATATATATATATATATATATATATATATATATAGAGTATGCATCAGTTGTGTCTAGCTCATATCCGCATATATATATATATATATATATATATATATATATATATATATATATATATATATATATATATATATATATATATACTTTTTTGGAAATTCAATTAAAGACCAATTTTGAATTAAATGGCTCATTAGCACCAATATATGAAGTAAGAAATACATATAGATTTTACTTATGATAAGACTTACATAAAAAGTCTTTAGCAAATGCATAAACTTGAATTAAGGTTCCATCATTACACTAATGTACCTTTGAGAGAAACAATCCAATTTTTGCACAGTCTCAAGACAGTTGTTGAAGAGTTCCAAGAGGTAGTTGCTTGAAAGCCTTCAATAAAGCAACATGATCATCAAATATTGACCTCTTCTTATCAAATCGTGAGAACATTTTGAAATACTCCGTAGTTGCTTACTTTAGTAATAAAGTCATTCGAATATACTCTAAGAATTAGGACATAGTTAAATGTGGGCTATGTGGCTTTGGATAGACCATGCAAACAAATGATAGAATAGGTCATGGTTCAGGTTTCTTTGGGGTATCAGAAAGAGCAAGTCAATTTGAGAACCATGTTGATTTAGGGCACATTTTCAGCCATTATTCTTTTTGTTTAAATTATACTAAAACATTTCAATGGATTGTCTAAATGTCTAATTGTGCTCCCCAATTAGATTTAATTCTTCACTCGCCAATTCTAGATGTATTTGTTGATAGTGATAGATATGAAGATCAGTATAAATCACTTTACTTCTACTTAAGTAATTAGTAAAGTAAATATGCTCATAATTTTATTTTATTTTTTCTGAAGAAATTAGACTATTTCCGACCTAAACGGCCAAGATTTTGGAGAAATCCTAGAAGAGAGGAGGAGAGAAGAGGAAAGGAGAGGCGAGAGATCGTAAGTAAATATGATCATATAATAAGCTATCCTATTTACTTGGCACATTTATCAATATTTTTTATTTTTATTTCACACTATTACCGTTATTAGCTTTAGTTATGTAAAATAAATTATAAAAATTTTGTTTTTAAAAAAAAATCATTAAGACAAATCTGACAAGATCTCTAATGTCTTTATTCTTTATAAATTCTTTATATTTAATATTAAAAATTCAAAATTAATGATGTAAATGCTATTTCTTCAAAAAAAAAAAAAAATTAAATGCTAGATAGTGTCAAAGTCAATATGGGGGTAAAAAAAAAAGAAATAGATCCAAGCCCAAATTCAGCTGGGAAGATATTGAAGCCGCAACAGTCCAAATAGCTATATATATAGTCATACACTCATACCTGCTATGAATAAGGAAAACGCAAATTGTAAGATGCACTATGGTGCACATAATAGTACGAGTAATAATTGATACTAAACTACAAATACCTGTAAGAATAGTGTACAAATTCTTGGTTGCATTCTAATGCATCCAAGATAGCTGCATCAAGGCAAAACGCAGCCTCCACTAAATGAAACACAAACTTAATTCATCTTTTTTTTCAAGTTTCATTTTTTATGATTCTCTTTCTTCACTTTCATAATAGTAATTTTGATCTCAATTTTCTCTCTCCTCTCTCCCATCTTCCATTCGAAATTCTCTCTCCTCTGTTATATGCAACACCAATGAAGGTTAGTTTTTGTGCTGTTTACAATTAGTTTAATTAAGTTAGACTTTGGATGAGTTTGTAATTGTTTTTGAATTTATAATTTGATGAGTTTCAATATACTCTTGATAAATTGGTTTTTGATTTTATGATTTAATTTTAATTCTTGGTATTCTGATTTTGATGTGAATAGTAATTGAATTGCTTTTTTTTTTTGAAAATAATTAAATTCTTGGTATTCTTTTTCTCTCTTTTGTTGGTGGTTTTTAGATTCTCAATCATGTTACAAATCAATACTATTTTTTCTATGGAAAATAAATAATTATTATTGTTTTTGAAGAAAAAATCAATAATTATTTTCTCTATGATGAATCAGGATTAATTTGATTATATTCAACTTTTTTGGAGTTGAAATAATTACAATCGAACTCGAGTATAATTTCTGTAAAAAAAAATGAACACGTAGTAATTTAAAAATGAACATCTAGTAGAAAATGAACTTTTAGTACATTGAAAATGAACATTTAGTACATAAAAATTGAACGTTTTTCAACAATTTATTATATCTTTATTTTTTTCGTTAATAATTATATACAATGAATTTGAACCTATATGAAAATCATGTTCATTTTAAATATCCTAAATGTTCATAACTTTTTTTTACATGTTCATTTTTATACATTTTTTTATTTTTTAATACTAATTGTTCATTTTTTAAAGTGTGTAGATTTTTATGAAATGTTCATTTCATTAGGTTGAAAGTTGAATTATTTGAACATTTAGTGTTGAAACTATGAACAACTTCCATATTTATTATGAACATATATGTTTCGTTATTTTTTATTACGAACAAATCAGTTATTGATTATGAACGCAAATGACATATAGAGTGATAATTTATATTTTTAACTATTATATTAATGATTATACATTATGAACATTCTAAATAATCATTTTGAACATATAATGTGATGATTATGAACATATGTTGTAATGATTATGATTGAAAATTCTGATTATTTGTTGCTATTTGTTATATTTTAGTGAGTACAGTCAATTGTATTCGTTGAAGGCAAAGAATCTGAATTAGTGAAGAAACAAGTAAGAAGTGATGAAGAAGCATATGAATTATTATGAACATTTGTTGTGATGATTATGAAAATTTTGATTATTTGGTATATTTTAGTGAGTACAGATTAATTGTATTTGTAGAAGACAAAGACTCTGAATTAGTAAAGAAACAAGTAAGAAGTGATGAAGAAGTATATGATATGTACAATGAATTTTCCCTTAAGTTGGAGAATTTCCGATGTATATGATCCCAATTTTATGGTTGTATGATAAAGGTTCATTTTTAATATACTAAATGTTCATTTTTTTATTTGAGATGTTCACTTTTTATTACTGAATGTTCATTTTTTTACGTGTCCATTTTTATTACTGAATATTCTTTTTTTTTTATATATGTGTTCATTTTTCTAACTAAATGTTCATTTTTAAGGTCGTGGTCTAGCAAATTTATGATTATATGATAATCAGATTCATTTTTAATAAATGCTCATTTCCTTATAACATGTTCACTTTTAAGTATTAAATGTTCATTTTTTTAACGTGTTCATTTTTTGTTATTAAATGTTCTTTTTATTTTCATGTTCATATTTTTTAACTAAATGTTCATTTTTTATTTGGACCGCGCGTTTTGGACCTCACTTATTGTAGCTATCTTGGCTGCACTAATTGAGAATAGTGATCCATTGAAATATTATGGTTTGGGTTTTCCGGCCCAACCCAATCACACAATCTCCCCCAAGTCCAATTTTATAGGCCTTCATAGCTGTCAGCCTGTAACCCATCTCATGCCACAACGGCTACAAAATTTTAAATAACCTTAAATGACCAAATAGCCCTCCACTCCCCAAAGCAAAAAAATCTCAATTCCTAACGTTAAACCACAACAGTCCTAAGGGTATTATAGTCGTTTGCGCAATAACTTTACAACGTTCAAATATTTGATCATCTCCAACGGTCATCTCCTTCAACTCTCCGAGTCAAAAATATAACTTCTGTTTCCTTTCTTTCCTCATTTTCTCAACACACCAATCTCATTTCTCTCTCCTCTCTCTCTTTAAATCAGATCTCAACATAAATAGTTTTAGATTTTCTTCCAAATTAAGTACCAAATCACAGGTGAAAAAAAATTCCATCTTTTTTTTTGTTACCAAAACAATCAACTACAAAAATGAATGATTTGATGACAAAATCGTTTCTGAGCTATGTTGATCTGAAGAAGGCGGCATCGAAAGACGTCGAACAAGATTTGGAAATGGGGATAGGAGGAGCAAATTTAGACCCTAAAATGGAGGAATTTTTGGAAGAGGCAGAGAAGGTGAAGGCTGAGATGGGGTTGATTAAAGATATATTAACTACCCTTGAAGCGGCGAATGAGGAAAGTAAATCGTTGCATAAACCGGAAGCTTTGAAGGCGCTTCGAGGCCGAATTAATGCTGATATTGTGTCTGTGCTCAAAAGGGCTAAAGCTATTAAGGCTCGGCTTGAACAGATGGATCGTGCTACTGCTGAGAATCGCCGCCTTTCGGCTGAATTGGGTACCCCCATTGATCGGTATGAACTGCTTACTTTGCAATTTATGGGCTTTTTTTGGTTTTTTATTATGTTTTTGTGATTATTAATGAAAAATAAAATGATGGGTTTTTGATGGATGAAGGGTTTAATTGGTAATTGAGATGGAAATTGATATAATTTGGTTTAAAATTGGGAAATCTGTAGGCTAATGTTCCAAATACAGTAGATTAAAAAAAGTACAATTTGATGGATTTTGGCAATTGAGATTGAATTTGATATAAAATTGGAAAATTTTGGGTTAAAAAAATAAATATTGAATTTTGATAATTTTTGGAGGTTAGGGTTTCATGTGAATTATTGATGATTGGTAATTTTGATATTTTTTACATTTTTAAAAAAAAATTCTAATTACAGGACTAGATCATGTGTGACAAACGGTCTAAGAAAGAAGCTAAAGGAGCTAATGATGGAATTCCAAGCCTTAAGGCAAAGAATGATGTCAGAGTACAAAGAGACTATAGGAAGGTGCTACTACACTGTCACAGGGGAGTACCCGGAGGACAACGTGATCGAAAAGATCATATCGAATGGGACCGGGGAAGGGGAGATCTTATCCCATGCCATCCAAGAGCACGGCCGAGGCAAGGTGGTGGAGACAGTGATCGAGATCCAAGGCCGCTATGACGCGGCCAAGGAAATCGAACGGTCTCTCTTGGAGCTACACCAAGTGTTCTTAGACATGGCTGTGATGGTGGAGTCTCAAGGGGAACAATTGGATGATATTGAGCATCATGTTATGAATGCATCAAATTATGTGCAAGATGGTACAAAGAATTTGAAGCAGGCTAAGGATTATCAAAGGGGTAGTAGGAAGTGTATGTGTATTGGGATTATTGCATTGTTGGTGATTATACTTTTGATTGTCATCCCAATTATTGCTAGTTTTAGTCATTCTTAAATTTCTTGTAATGTTTTTTGTTGGAGAGTGTGTGTAATTGAGGTTTTATAAAAGGGGCTGTCACTCAAAGCTCCTTGAAACTCTGTTAAGCACTCAATTTTATTCATTTGTTGGTAAATGAATGTAATGTGATATGAATCATATGATATGTTACTTTGTTCTCTATATTGCAATTTGTTACTTTGCAAATTTAAATTACACATGATTATAAGGTGACATATTATCTCAATTTTGCACAAAGAATATTTTGAGCTATAATTCCTTTGATAGGGTTTCTGGACTTCTTTATTGGGCCAATTAAGACCATGGGCCAGAAGGTTAAATGATCCATAGAACTCAACTTTTATACGTAGTAAAAAAGAAGGTTGGATAAAATACTAGTAGTATGTATATTGTAGGGTGGAATTTAGCAAAGCTATAGGATGGTAGAGCCTTACACTCCAACGCTAAGTTCTCCAGTAACGTGACAACAATTAAAATACAAACATAATCATATTCATCAATAGTTTTTCTTGCCCGTAATTTGTTTATATTGTCACAAAAAAAAATTACTAAGATATTTATTTGAAAGAAACAAAAGCACTTATCCGTGAATAGTTGTTGTTTTTTTTTTTTTTTTTTTTTTTTTTTTTTTTTTTTTTTTTTTTTGTCGGGAATTAGAAACTATCGGATTATTATATCTTCATTAAGAACAGAGAAGATTTTTCTTCAAAAAAAAGAACAAAGAAGAATACTCCATAACATCATAGTTCAAATCATATGAAACGTTAAGAATACTTCAGTGGTTGGTCGGCTAGGCAAACTGGTCCACATACGTTAATGCCTCAAACAATTAGGAAGCACCCCGAGTACAAAAACACCAGTCTCAGATAGAGGAAAGCAAACCATTGCTTTCTATAATTTGAATGAGAAATTTCTCAATTTTGGTTGTTGGAGAAACTGATACAATTTGAACCCACTAATTGAATTTATAAATCTTTAAATTTTGACCACCATATAATGCTTCGTTGTTTAATTATGTTCATTAACTAGATTAGCACTCGTGCGAGTTAGAATAAAAACTCAATACAATTCAAAATAATTAATTCACAAAATGTGGGTTTTTGGAAAGAGAAATATCACTAATACGCTTTTGGTTAATTGATGTTCACACTTTAATTTATTTATTAAAAATTATTTTCCTAATATTGAATTTGGAAGGAAAAAATTTTGATAAAAATGATGTCATAAGCAATTTTGGAAGGAATTTTTTATGAGAAATTGACATGTGTACAGTGGTGATGTAAGCGGTTTTTATTTTAGTTATAGTTATAGATTATTATAAAGTACTGTACAGGCTAGAACTACATTACATTTTAATTTGGGTCAAAATTATTTTATTGACCATCTAAATCAAATATCCAATTTTTTTTTTTTTAAGAAAGTAATTAAATATCTAAATAATTCAAAAAGGTTTTTTTTTTTCATCAAGTTAAGACATTTTAAGGGTCTTTGTTGATGATTACACGAAATAATCAAATTTGATTCAGGTAGCTGACCCCACTTATAGGATTAAGACTTAAATTGATTGATATTGGTTTAGACATGTTATTAAATATTTACTGATAAATTTATGTTTTGACAATAATATTTTTTTAAAAAAAATCATATCAACTATTGTGGAACAAAGGTGAGGAAGTGTATTGTAGCGCCACGTCCCACATGGAAGGAAGGTAAATTCAGTCACAAGCTTGGCATGATGTAGGGCTAGTAGCATAGCATTATATGCCATGAGCCCATGACGAGGAAACGAATAAGAAGAGAATTGATAGTGGTATAGAATTCTGGAAAGGCAAGTTAAGATAATGTGCACATTGCTTGTGACAGTTAAAAAAGGTGGGTCTAAATAAAATAAAAATGGAAAAAACAGCAAATACTTGAATATGTATGTATGCACAACACCAACACAGTATAAATGTGAATGTGAACGGTAGTTGTCTGAGATCACCGCAAAAACTAATGATTATTCTTGTCAAATAAGCTAAGGCAATAATAATCAAGCCAAGTAGCCAAGGCTAAGTTAAGGCGTAATGTTAGCGGTGCCGTGTGTGTTGACCGTGTCATGCTCATGCATGTGTTAATGCGTATTATGTAGAGTTAAGAGTTGTAGACCACCTCCTTCGTTTCTCCGACTTCTCTTGCAACTAACTATTATTTGGTAATATTATTCTGGCCTTGTGACTTGTATAGAGTGAAAATAGCGACCAAAGTATATAACGTATTTCTTCTAACTTTTTATATTCCTTTATTGGTTGTTTAGTTAGTGTAGTAAATGACGGATATAGGAATGTATTTTAGATTACTTTGGATCATTTATGTAATGTATAAAAAAAAAAACCAAGCATAGCTTGGTCTAGTGATCAAGTTTGTATCCCACAACCTCCACTAGAGACATTTTGGGGGTGTGGATTTTAACACCTCACAAAAATCTAAAAATGGTTTTTAACACCTCCATAAAAAAAATTATTTTAACACCACACAAATTTCCAAAAAAAGGTATTACCACCACTTAACTGATTTCGTTTAGGAATCCGTTAAGTGGGCCCATAAAGCCACGTGTCGCTTTATTATTGGCCAAAAAAAAATTAAAAAAAAAAGAAAATTAAAAAAAAAAACCTAAAACTACCCCAGCCACCATTGCTCCACCACCGACCTGCCCCCAACCCACCACTGCCCTCCCCAAAGCCACCACCGGTAGCGTGTCTCCTCCTCCTCCCTCTCTCAACCCACCAGAACGCCCCCTTCCCTCACCCGCAACCGTAATCAACCCAAAAACCACCAAACCCGCAACCGCAAACGACTACGAATCCCCCAAAGCAGACACGATTCCGGCCACAAATGACCGAAATCGGCCGGTGAAGGCCACTCAGCCCTAAAACCGGCTGATTTCGGCCATTTGTGGCCGTTTTGGGAAAGGAGGGTTTTGGGTTTGGTGGTTTTTGGGGGCGAAGCGGTTGCGGGAAAGGGAAGGGGAGGATTCAGGTGGCTTAGGGTTGCGACGGCGTCTCCGGTTGTAGGTTCAGGGAGGTCAGTGGTGGGTTGGGGGGAGGGCGGTGGTGGCGCTGAGGTGGTGGCTGTGAGGTTTTTATTTTTTATTTTTTAAAAAAAAATCTTTTTTTAACAAATAAAATGGTGACATGTGTCACTGTGGACCACACTTAACGGAATTCCTAAACGGAATCCGTTAAGTGGTGGTAATACCCATTGTTTGTAACTTTATCTGGTGTTAAAATCAATTTTTTTTATGGGAGTGTTAAAAACAATTCGGGTTTTTTTGAGGTGTTAAAATCTAAAATATCCTTAAAAATATGATTCTCAGCTTCAAAGTGTATATTCGTCATGCAATCATCAATGTGTAGTTAGTTATTCCCATCGTTTTTTTGGACATCATCTATTTTTATTAATTACTTTGTAGGTGATCGTGTAGGATTAGCTATCATATTTAGTATTTTAGTGTAAATATATGTCTATTACAAAATATAATCCAATTTTTTTCATTTAGATATTTTGTTTCAAATTTCAGAGTCCAATTCAACGTGTAACATGTAAGGACCCTAATCCAATATCTCATGGTTTTGTTGATCCGTTATTTACAAGTCATACATTTTTATAGCGAGGAGGAAAAGGTGGTGCCTCTAGTGGGGATTGAACCCCTAACCTTAAGGTTTCATTGAAAGGTATAATTTAATTAAGCTTAGCTTGGTTTCAAATCTGATTGTATAACTAATCATATATATACAGTATTCGCTATATTTTACAAAATATGACCAATTAAGGCCCTGTTTACTTCACCTTAAAAAAAAAATATTTAGTAAAATTAATTTCAGTTCAGTAAAAATAATTTCAATTTGGCAAAAATAATTTCAGTTCGGTAAAAATTAGTAAGCTTCAAGAAGAAATATAGTAGAAAATCAGCAAAAAATAATTTTAGTTCAGCAATTCAGTTTAGTAAAATTAATTTCAGTTCAGTAAAAATAATTTAAGTTCGGTAAAAATAATTTCAATACATAATATCAGTTTAGCTAAAATAAGGTTTTTTTTAATCAAATTACTTATTCTTAAGTTTTTAAGTGTAAGATTAGTAAAAGTTATGTCAGAAGTTCCCAGCTTTATAAAAGATTAAAGAAATGGATAAAACATGCATACATATAACATCAAGTTATTAACAACTTTTTTTTTTGACAAGCATTAACAACTTAACTAAAGGATAAGATTAATTATAATTGTTGGAACAACAAGTGTGTAGTGTGTGAATTTTGTGAAAAAACTCAAAGTCCCACATTGGTGGGAAATGAGAGTTTTACTCTCTTTATAATATAGAGAGTGGGCTAAAGGGGTGTGGCAGCATTTCTAGAGCATTCACTACACTGGGATAGACGTGCATGGCCGAAATAGCACGGGTCTAGAACAACACCAAGAGTAGGTTGTGTGTGGTACGTTGTCAGAGATAGGGTTCAAAACTTCGAGTCACCCTTGTTGAATCTGAATCGTACTCACTACGTAGAAGTTCAAGTTGAAAAACACTTCTGTTTATGCGCAACCTATATATGTATGGATTCTGCTCGAAAATGTTTTCAAAAAATTCAAGTGGGGGATTGTTGGAACAACAAGTGTGTAGTGTGTGAATTTTGTGAAAAAACTCAAAGTCCCACATTGGTGGGAAATGAGAGTTTTACCCTATTTATAATATAGAGAGTGGGCTAAAGGGGTGTGGCCCTTGGGCTACCCACATTTTGTGGAGAGGGAGGACCTATATGGTAAACCATCTATCACACACACGCGCGCCGAACCGAGCCGAGCCGAGCCGGGCCGGGCCGGGTTGGGTCGGGTTTATTAAATAAACTTATTTTTTGGACAAGGCTAATTGCGTGATTAGTTCCTTGATTTTTGCTAAACGTTTTTGACTGATTACATTTGACCGTTTTTTCAAAACTGATTAATGGAGCGTTAATCATGCAAACGTTTTCACTGATTTTTTGCTAAACGTTTTGCCACGCATTAATCTTCTGTAACCGTTTTGAACGTTCACCTTATGACCGTTTTAATTGCGTGATTAGTGCCTAATTAAACAGCAGCAGTTACGTCGCAATTTTGCCTATAAAAGGCGTGTTGATTTCCTGTTTTTA